CCACAGCCAAATATATAATCACATGACAATGCACTTATATAAACTGTGCTTATTTAATGCCTTATGGCACCAAAACCAGGTGAATTTTGGTGTTCCACACCCCTCTCTGCTCTGACAGACCCCGTGCAGTGGACGGGTCTGCTTTACAGCTCTGTGTTTGTGCTTGAAAATGACAAGAACAGGGGGCGGGCAGTGCGTGCCTTTTGAGGAGGGTTTTAGGCTGCTCACCTATTCAGAAGTTAGAAATGGTAGTGGTATGTAGCAAGAGAAAAACTTACAAATAGCTCCTTTAAATTGTTCTCATTTTTGAGGACTCTGTGTAGTAGATAAATTTCCCACTCAGAATTCAGATACATGGCAGCGGGTAATGATGATGATTTCCACACAGCCCAAGAGTCTGCTGCTGTGAGGCTGAAACGCTGATTGTAAAGAAAACCAAAGTATTGGACAAACTTAGCCTTTGACCTAATGATGGTATAACATTAAAAGTCCGCACAAAAGTGGTGGAGCAACCGATCAACACGAATCACATTATCTGTATAGTGCTACTTACCATGAACAAGTCCACAGTAGCAAAAGCTCACCTGTTAAAAACCTTGAATACAATAGCCAGCTGATCGTCTACCCTGAGAGCTCCAACCTTACAGAGGCAGCAGAGGAAAGCAGCAAAAGCAGCTTCATGACCTAAGAAGACAAATACACAGAAAACATCTTCAAACATCAACATAATCTGTGTGCACATCATTTCCACTCCAAGTCTTTTAGGTAGATGTTAAGCCTTTTTCCTCAGCTGTTGCCTTTGTAAAGATCTGAAAGAAGCTACTCTGTACTAAAATATTGAAGTTGCAGTGTGTTACTGCACCTCCCAGTGGTCAAACATATCATAGTATCTGTGTTTTGTGTCTGTAGATCAGGAACTGGATTCCGATTTGAGGAACCGCTATTGAACCCCATCCCTGACAGAGGCTTACAGCCAAATTTTTCAGTGGTCCATCAACTCAAACTCAAAGAATTTTGAGGGACTTCACTTGTTCATTTCCATTTTGTACAATTTTATATTTTGCGTTTCATTCCATGTTGCACTTCTTACTTGACTACAGTCATTCCACAGCTTTAGTTACTAGTTACTTTGCAGAATAAGATAAACATATCACAAGTGTTTAAAATACATTTTTAAAAAGGTTCAAAGATTTGTGTTTGGTTTCATAGAACAAAAAAAGTAAAAGAGTCAAATGATCCAATTTCTGATTTAACTGAGTGTTTTGTATAAAACTATAGAGATGGACTGAAATAAAACATGGACACACAACACTGTTACCTGTTCCATAGTCTATCCTGGTGGAGTTCCCCACAGACTCTTTCAGATAGACAGCTATCTCTGGAACTGCTGCACATTTGTCAGCAGGGACCACTGTTGACACCAAGGCCTCTGCTTCCTATTCACACACACACACGCACACGCACATCACTTTCTACATACAGAGCATGTGGTTGCATGCATGATTGGCCATGTTCACACCTGCATTAACATGTCTCTCAGGTGATCAGCTCTTAGTACGTTGTGGTTCACACCTGGTATTAAAATCTACCTCCACGTGTCTTGAGTGACCACTTGTGATCAGATCTCACTTCCCTGCTTTAAACACATACATAATTTCCATTTGCAAAGCCCAAACAACTTGTTGTTTTTAACAGGTGAAAGGCAGCGATGCACTTCCTGTGCTTAGAGTACTGAAGAGCTGTCCACTTGTGATCAGATCACCTAACATGCATGTTAAACACAGGAGTGAACAGGAACAATGTGTGAGAAAGTGAACATGTGTACTTACCTGGTCTAGTTTGACGTACCAGGTTCTGTAGGCCTTATTACCAAAGCGTGACGGCTGATCAACAGGAGGAGTCTCATTTATCCATCGGTCAAGAGTCCCCAAGAGATCTAGTAACCTCTCCACTGTCTGTCACACAAGACACCAGGGACTGTAGCAACATGTAACTGACCTTTACACAAATAAACATCATCATAACTACCATGTTAGTTATGATGAGCATAAAGAGAAATAAAGACAAAACAAAGCAGCACATGTAGCTGAGGGGCAGGTATAATCAGACGTTAAATTATAAGACATTACCATAATATAACATGTTTACAATTATTATATTTATATTTTATTACAGTCTCCCTAGGACTGTATTTGTATTGCATCATTAATATCAGATACACAAATACTACACCAGATATAAACCCTTTGAAAAATACACACACACATATACATACACACACACACAATATTATTTTAATTTGTACGTCTCTATAACTGTTTATTGTTTTTGTTGTCATTTACATGTCTGTCCATTACATGTACCCTTCATGTCAAACTTGTTTTTATTATGCAGAGTAAGTAATAAAGAACAACTCTCACAGTGAAAGATTTCCTTCACTATTTTCAATATAAATTTGTGAATGTATGAAGCTATCCTCAAACCCCCAAACAAGATTTTAAAAGCTCATGATAAAAGATACAACATACCTCAGACACTTTATATTCACATGTGAGCTTCTTTCCTTTCACACCTTCATTCAGTGTTAGAATGAAGCCCATGTAATCAGCGTATGCCTGGAAGAAGGAGAGATGTGCTTAAAACTGTAATGTATCAGGATGTGTGGTGAGATGAACCACTACTACAAATAAAACCAGTATTATTATATTAATACAAATATTTTTTACAAAACTGATATTGTTCACATTGAGGCAAATGCACTGAAAAGGAATAAAGTAAAATAATCCAAATGATATTCAGTGTAATAAACAATGTTCCACTGTGGTAGATCACTAAGAACTTAATAACTTCTAGGTTTTAATTATAATTTGATCTCAAATCTGCAAACCATAAATTACATAGTTTTAGGAAACAATGATATTTAAGTTAAGTCTTTGTGGAATTTGGAACTTTTTGTACACAACATGGCAAGTCAGACAAAACCTTTAGGACAGACATAACATTCACAGGCAGGAACCTACTTGAGATCGTTTCCACTTGCCCATGTCAGGCACCATGCTGATTTCTTTCTTGGGCACCATGAAGGTGACTTCAGGTGCTTCATCCTCAGGAGTGGATCCTAACAAAGGATTTAACACTATTCAGAGATGTTTCCAGTTGGAAAGTAGATATTAAGTTTTCCAAATACAGTGGAAACTGGATCACAGGTACAGTGATCAAAAGGATCAAAAAGCTTGGGAGAAAATCATTCCAATACAAATGAAGTTTAAATAATTTGTAGTCAGTACAAAACTTTTTTAGGCTAATAGCCAGTACAGTTATTTAAGTAATTTGAAAGCGTTTGAAACAGCTGTACTGTATTTTTTAATAGTTGATACAATTTAGCAAATAGTTACTGTCTGTTTCAATACATTACATTCATGTAATAAATACACAAATGTCAATTACATGGTTATCAGCATGAGAAATAAGGAAATAGAAAAAAAGTGATTATAACAATCATCCACTCATCAAGTGGTTTCCAGTGTAAGTGAATTCAGTATTTACTAGATCTACTGTTTTGTTTTTATTTTATGCACTCTTATTTTCTGACTACATACTTATAAATAATGTAACGTGGAGTATAAAAGGATTGAGTATGCTTTTGAGTTGCATTATGGGAAATGTAGGACTCAGAATTTATGCACCTTGACGCAAAGTAGGAACTGAAATTCAGGGGATCTCAGCATAGGTGCTGCTTCAATTTGAACAAATATTTAAATTTGTCTCTTGTGACTCGACCAACACTATGAAAGTGAAATTAAATTGTGGGAGTAGCCGAATGTTCAGCTTGACCGACATGAACACTTAGCTAAATTCGTCCTATCAGCGTTTGAGTATGGTTGGTTTGAGTTTGTAAAGCGCATGAATGTCATCATTTCTCTGTTTAACTTTTAAATAAAGTTTGTCCTGATTATGTTCCTAATAAATGAGTAAAAGGCAGCGGTGCATCCTGGAACCTATCTCCTGTAAACACTCTACGTGCTAGCTAACCTGCCACACAGTTAAACAAGCACCTAATGGTTTTACAGGAAGTTGACAACAACTGCTAACAAAACAGCACTTGAGTTCAAGTTGGTATACAAATAGATGACATGGACAAAGATGACTAACCTATATAAAATGTACATGGTAGCTTTGCCTGAGAACAGCGACGATATGCTCTCCAGGCTTCTCTAACGTAAATTTAATTCGTTAAATGCCCCGTGTAGTAAATGGTGCACCTGCTAACGATATTAGCTTTTAACATAACAGAGCACAAGCGAATCAGAGCTATCCAGTGCTGAGTACAAACATTCAGCTGCGCTTTACCTGACTGCTGCTCGGTTTCCGCCATGGCGATGCTTGACAACGTTCTTCGTGGGTTTTAGGCAGATTTAAAGCAGACATGACTCCTTACTGCCAACTGTTGACCGAAAATTAAACGACAGCTTGGGTTCTTCTATGTTGCTTATTAAACACAAACATATTTTCACCCTCTGCCGCTTTTTTCTGTGGATGCCTATTAACACAATAATAATTGAATAAAAGTCATGGATTTTCCGTACTTAATTCAGAAAAACAGCATGATCTTATTCTTCAAATTGTATTTTTTTAAAGAAAACTTTATACTTAAAAAATCCTGTTTTTCTAAATTAACAAGATCATTATCTCAGATTTCTAAGGAAAGTTTTTCTTTAAAAAATTATGAGATATGTCATTTAATTTAGATATAAACTATGCCGTTAATTGAGAAAAACAAGTGAATGCATTACGCGTCATTAGTATCCGTTATTAAAGTGTATGTAAATATCCTCTGGGCACACCCACCCTTTCTTTATGGCAATCAGACACCCGGCGTTCACTGCTGAGTAACTTTACCCAGTCAATGTGTTCAGAAGCTGTGCTGTGCAGAGTTGCTTCGAGAGGTCTGTCTCCGGTGGGTCTGACAAAGCGCAGGTGAAGGTCTCGGCTAACCCGTTACAGTGGACCTGGAGGTCTGACGGACCTGAGTTTGTGGGCGTTACTTTGAATGCAGAATGTGGGGCATTTGCAGCAGAACTATGGTAAGTAACGTACCTTTAGCTGACTGTGCTTGATTGGCCCACAGCCAATATAGCTTAATGCAGAGATAAGAGCTGTTGACTTGATAACTACTGTCGTGGACATGAAGCAGTCTCAATGATTTTGATGAGGAATCGGTTAACGCTGCTGAACTCACTAGGTGGTGAAGGAATGTCGGCTGGCTAGCTGTTAGCAAAGTTAGCGGTCGTTAACGGTTAGCTAACCCAACTGGGTCAAAGGTGATTTTGTGCTCTGCCAAGATTAAATATAGCGAAAAGATACTAAGGATAAGATGGATCGAGACTACATTATTCATCTTTAGGCATTAACTTGTGGGAAGACAGTAACATTTAAAGAGCGAGTTGCTATGTTATCCTCCTGTTTTGACACAAACTTCACAACAGTGTTCAGCAAACGGTTAGAGCGTTTAAACTCTGTGATGACCCAGCACACAGATGATCTGTGGACATGAAACAGCTCGACTACACCTGACCAGAAAGATCATGTGACATAAAACTGTAGAGCAAACATTAAGCTGAGGAAAGAAGGGGTTTCCAACTAGACAGTCAGACAAATCATAAACTGACTGCAGATCAAATATGTGATGTAGAATCAGTTCCTCATCGTTAAGGGTGTTGTCCACTCTTATTATTATTAATTTATCACCATAAACTCAGTCAAGTCTTGTCAAGTCTTGTCAGAGGTACCTTTTTAGTTTTTTACGTTTTAGTTGCTAAGGTGTTCTGTGCAACCGTTTAACTGATTTTTAAGTGCTTCCTTAAGTATAAGGCTAAGATAAGGAGAAAACCTAAAATGCTTAAGTGAACATTTTAAGGAAACCTAAAAGAGAAGACTTAGGGTTGTTTTGAGCAACGATTTTTATTTTAAGGAAACTTTAACTCTCAACTGGCCCCAGACTCTTCCAGTCAGTCAGAAAGTGTTATTTTTCACAGTTGACTGGGGAAATAACAACAGCACACTCTTACAGTAAACATGTATTTTATACAGAGCCTGACCAATTTATCGGTTAAGTTAAACATATATATAATACATATATACATATTTGTTCTTATGTTTTTTATTTATAGTTATTTTATTTAATTCCCAGTGAAATTTAGTGTTTCAGTGCTCTGATGTCATTTTGGGCAATAAAGTTTATTGTTAAATTATAAAATATCCTGCTTTCATTACATATCTTTTTCAGTGTTTGTGTACATATATATATATATATATATATCTCAGCCAATATATTGATATCAGAATTTTTTACTCCCTAATATCTGTATCGTCATCGGTCCCAAAAATCCAATAATATATCCTCTTTGTGTCTTAGGTGAAGGTGGGGATGGCGAAACCCTGCGGCTTAATGAAACCAAACCACTTAGTGAAGCCTGTATCAGCAACTCGGGTTGCTGGCAGATACCTGACCCACCAGCAGGGCCTGCCCCATCTGCCTGTCCCCCCGCTGCAGCAGACCTGTGAGCGCTACATTACTGCCCTGGAGCCCATTGTGGAGGTGGACGAGCTGAAGTACACTAAAGAGCTGGTGCAGGAGTTTCAGAAAGCAGGAGGGGTCGGAGAGAGACTGCAGAAAGGCCTGGAAAAGAGAGCAGGCAACACTGAGAACTGGGTGAGCTCAACTACACCAGCTGTGGAGTAAAAAAAAATATTGAGATTTGGGAGAATATATACTTGTATGTGTTTCTGTCTTTGTAGCTTTCAGAGTGGTGGGTGCAGCTTGCTTATCTTGAATACCGGCTGCCTGTGGTGGTGCATTCAAGTCCTGGGTTGGTGTTGCCTCGAATGAACTTCAGTGATAAGCAGGGACAAATAAGGTGATAACACACAGAGCACATGTTTAGTCGCAGTTAATTAAAACCTAAAGTAAACCTATAATTAAAACCTATACATACACACACACACACACACACACACACACACATATATATATATATATATATATATATTTCCAGCTTTTCCAGCCACTGATAGGATTTCTTGATATCAGCCACTTCTTCTATATGTCTGTGGTACATGTCATGTAGGGGTTTGTCCCTCCATGATGGGGTTATGGGGTTTCTGCTGCCTGAGGTATTTAATTAACAGCTCATCTTCAGGGGCCATCTTCCTGATGTATTCCTGGATCTTGGTCGTTTCATCCTGGACAGTAGCTCCGACGCTCACCAGTCCTCGGCCTCCCTCGCTCCGCTCAGTGTACAGTCTCAGGTTGTTAGACTTGGGGGTCTACCACACCAGACAGGACCCCAGTTGCAAGCTGTGCAAAGATGCTCCTGAGACAGTCCAGCATATAATAGCAGGATGTAAGATGCAGGCAGGAACAGCGTACATTGGACGCCAAAAATACCAAGTGCTGAAAGAGGAGCTAGAAAAGATGTGGAGAGTAAAGTCAACAGTGGTGCCAGTGGTCATCGGAGCACTGGGGGCTGTGACCCACAAACTGGGAGAGTGGCTCCAGCAGATTCCAGGTACAACATCTGAGGTCTCTGCCCAGAAGAGCGCAATCCTAGGAACAGCTAAGATATTGCGCATAACCCTCAAACTCCCAGGCCTCTGGCAGAGGACCCAAGCTTGAGGAAGACACACCACCCACACACCAGTACCTTGATCCACAATTCAACATGTGGACTAGAGGAACCAGGAATCGAATAACCGCCCTTCCGATTAGTGGACAACCCTCCCTAGCTCTACCTCCTGAGCCACAGTGATCCATTCTGGTTTTTAAAAGTGATGTTTTCAGAAATTTAATCACTTCCTTTATTCCCAACGTAGGTAAATATTCTTACAAGTTAACATTTAAATGATTTATCACATTATCTGTGTTCAGGTTTGCTGCCAAACTGATTGCTGGTGTTTTGGACTTTAAGACAATGATTGACAAGTGAGTACTGAGCTGAAAATGTTCTTCAACGACACACGTGTACTTCAGCATCCTACAACTTTTATTAGTTTCTGTCTTCTAGGAGTGAATCCATATAATTTGGGATGTGAAATTTGATGATGTAAAAATGGACTGTAGTTTAAAACAAATTCTGTCTTCCTGAAGATATTTGCTTATGTTTACATCATCATGTACAATCAGTGCAATCAATGCAATCAATTGTATGTATCTTTATAAAAACCTATAACACTCCTCTACAATTATTACTTTCTCTGTAATACTGTGTGTGCATCAAACCCTGTAGTCGCAGTTTAGTGTGTAATGGCAGAGCTTGTATGTTTTGCAGTGAGACACTACCAGTGGAGCACCTGGGAGGAAATCCCCTGTGTATGAATCAGTATTATGAAGTGCTCTCATCCTGCCGTATCCCTGGTCTGAAGAGAGACTCAGTGGTGAACCACGCAAAGAGCTCACCGTCCCCAAAACACATCATTGTAGTGCACAACCTTCAGGTGAGGAGCGCTGGTCCAAACCATGTGTCTCTGTCTATGTGCTTCTTGGACCATGAGCCTGTATCACAAAGTTCAACCTGGTATGTGTCTTGTTGGGGAGCCTGACATTAGTGATCCAGTATAACTGGAGCTTGAAGCTGGTTATCAATGTGTAGTTGCTGGTTGGTGTTCAACATGTTCAGTAGTTGTAATTGACTAGTATGGTAACAACTGGATGGGAACTGGGAACAAATTATTTTCAATAAGTCATAGAATTAATCACCAAATCAGTGAGGAACGTCAACACAGTCTGTGTGGATGAAAAGAAACTGTTGCTTTGGTCTGAGCTACAGGATAATCACCATTCATTAGACTGTGAGTATGGTAAACTATAATCTCTCTAATTGTTAGCAGCCTTGTTTTAATCCCAGAGTGGACACATGAAAGTGTAAAAATGTTTTTGCTGTTGTGGTAATCATAGTTATTATACTGATCTATTAAAATTACCTCTTTATTATCAGTCACTTAATTGATATTGATATGTTTTGGTTTGATTTGCTGAGCTGAACCTGTTATTGAGCTGGTTAGTTGTGCCCCTGAGGTTGCTATGGTGAACCGCCTTCATGATACCAGCAGACCTGTGTGAAGCCCTGAGAGCTGAATAGCCCACTAACCTCTCTGTGTGATACAGACCCCAGGTCTGCAGACGTAATGTTCATAATTTGTTAAGTTTGTTGTTGTTACCAGCTGTAGCTAACTAGCTGCAGCTGGTAACATTTTCCAGCTACAGTTGTTGTTTTATCTGGAAAACTAACAGTTGTCAACTAAAAATGAGAAGCCTGGCTGAACTTTTATTTTCTTCACTTGGACTTAGTTCTTTGTGCTGGACGTGTACAACAGTGACGGGACTCCGCTGACTGTCAATCAGCTCTGTCTTCAGCTGGAGAGAATCTGCAGCTCCTCAGTACAGGCCAAGGTGGAGCCCGTCGGCATCCTGACCACCCAGCATCGTGACTCCTGGGCCAAGGCCTACATCAATCTCACCAAGGGTGAGCTAACTGACCACTGACGCTGAGCCGAAGAAGGCAGGACTCAGGGCACCAGTCACAGTGATAGTCTAAGAAATCACAAGCTTGTAACTGCATTTAAAATTAAAATTACTCATAATAACTTGAATAAATTAGGTACATTCCTAATAAGGGAACTATAAAAGTATGTAAAAGTGACTTGATATATATATTTGTAACTGTTGCAGTCTGACAGCACATTTGCTTTGTGTGTGTGTACTTGATTTGCTCAGATAAGACCAACAAAGAATCTGTGTCCGCCATCCAAAGGAGCATCTTCACATTGTGTTTGGATGGAGCGAGGCCTGCAGTCTCTGACGAGCTGTACCGCAGCTCTGCTGCCGTGCAGATGCTGCACGGAGGAGGCTCCCAGTGGAACAGTGGCAACCGCTGGTTTGACAAGACACTGCAGGTGACACATAAGCACTTCTTTAGTCATTATGAGGAACTTGACATGTGATTTGGATTTCACCTGCTTTAACCCTGTCAACAAATTCCTTAGGAAGGATGTGATACAAATGCTTGTTTTTTTTGTTCTCTGAAGTCTCCGGTCTTTCTTTCAGTTTATTATTGGAGAGGACGGGACATGTGGTGCAAACTACGAGCATGCCCCCGCTGAAGGCCCACCCATTGTGGCCTTGATCGACCATGTTGTAGAGTACACGTAAGTAGGTCAAAGATTATTGAGGCTCTGTAGATGTTTGTTTGGACATTATTATAACTCATTATCATTATTATCATTTTACAGTGAGCACTAGGACAGAGTGAGTACACTGACTCACAGCATGGACTGGTTGACCACAGACAGAAAACCAGGGCTTTATTAAGTACAGTTAATGGTGATGTTGTTTTTTACAACATTTGTTTCTGTTCTTCTCTCTTCTCTTGTGTGTGGTAACAGGAGGAAGCAGGAGACGGTGCAGCCTCCCATGGTTCCTTTGCCCTCGCCCCAGAAACTACACTTCAACATCACACCTGAGATCAAGAATGACATTGAGGAGGCCAAGCAGAGTATGAACATGTGAGAGCACCTTTTATAATGACACTCTAAGATAAAGACATATGTATATATACATATATATATGTATGTATATGTATATACATACACATATAACCTCTTAAGCCCGACAACTTGGTACCGGTAGAACAGTGTGATACATAATTCCCTGTAAAAAGACTTTTTTTTTTTTAATGCTTCTAAAAGATGACGCTTTAATGCTACCAAAACAATAGTCCAAGTGTATGTAGTCCAAAGAATATTTGTTTGGCAATACTTTCAATATTTCTGTTTCAAAATAAGACACCTATCAATGTAAGCAGACAGTTGAAATGAATCACGATGGTACATGTAATCCGCTCGCTCAAAAGCAACAATATTGTTTCCTTACCCTTTCATGGTCATTTTGAGGCTACCGATACAATTTTCCAGTAAAGTCGGTCGAGATGGGGGCCGGGATAGAAAAGACTGAGCCCCAAGCCCCGCGCTTTTGGTGGTACTGCCGTTTAAATACACAGCGCTAACTTCTTTCTACATCTCGCAGATGTAGAAAATATGTAATAGCTATATGTAATAGGTATGTCACACTCCCATAAGACTTGCTTCCTTGCAATACTACACCCGAGCTTAAGGACAAGAGACTTTCACCACAGATTGGGATTTTAAGCGTGATGCACGGCCAATTCAACTTTTATTGTATTTTGAACTTTGTATATAGTATTTTTTATGTAAATCTTTAACTTTTACAATGTCAACGAAGTAGAATCAACATAGCAATTTAGAGGAAGATATTCAGAGGTAAAATGGAGACAAAATAATACAATTTAGTTGTTTTTTACACACAATGGTTGTGCACAATGGTACAATCTGATGATGCATAGGGTAAATGAAGTGGCTAAGGGTTGTATTGTGTACACATAGCTTCCTATAGTGGAAATCATTAGTATTTTGTAGCCAGATTTCCTTTCGAGAGTGAAAAACCTCTTTGGCACACACTATCCAAGTGTCCAAATGGAGAGTCTGCCTGGCTTACATTGTTACAGTTGTAGTCATGAAGTTGTTGAATGAACTCTGGCATCCCAGTGCATGGGACCATTGTTATCATAGTGTTATCCACTGTCTAAATGAAAATAAATTCTAGGCGAGATTTTTTTTTTTTTTTTAATTTTCCTTTGGTTTATCACAATTTACTCAGCTATAGTAACAGTCAAAATGTTAATGACACATGGAATAAATTCTCTGAGGTCTTACCTATCCATACTGACCAAGCCCTTGCAAATGGACCTGATGGTCTGTCTAGGCGAGTCATACCCTCCAGCATCCCTAGGGCTTAATAGGTTAAATCATGTCATGAAGCACAGAGATAGACCAGGTCTCTCACTGTTCTGACATTTCTCCCACCACAGACTGGCCCAAGACCTGGATATGAGGGTTATAGTGTTCGGCCACTTTGGGAAAAATGTCCCAAAGGCCCACAAGATGAGCCCTGATGCCTTCATACAGATGGCACTGCAGCTGGCCTACTACAGGTGAGATGCTGAAAAGTCTTTGTTTGGATGCTTTTTATTCTTTGGTCTCTAGAACAAGGGTTACTGATAAGATGTGAAGGTTTCATGTAAAAAAAAAATATATATATAACATAAATAATAAAATAAAAATTAATCTGTATATTATACCAATGACTATACATATAGATAGATGGATGGATGGATGGCTGGATGGATGGATACTTAATTCATACCCTAGAGGAAAATCATGTGTCCAGTAGCTCATTGGTAGTAATAATAATAAATAATAAACAATAATAATTAGATCAGTCCATTTCCTTTGGCTGAGGTGTTGTATAGCCTGATGGCAGTGGGAACAAAGGATCTCCTGAACCTCTCTGTTCTGCAGCGCAGTGAGATGAGACGTTTGCTGCAGCTGTAGCTGCTTCTCTGTCCTGCCAGAATGTTGTGGAGAGGATGGTTGGTATTGTCCAAGATGGCCTCCATCTTACATTGCATGCGTCTCTCCACAACAGTCCTGAGTGAGTCCAGACTCCTGCCAAGCAGAGACCCAGACTTTTTTACCAGCTTATCCAGTCTCTTTGTGTTCATGTCTAACATGCTGCTGCTCCAGCAGACTGCAGCATTAAAGAGTACACTGGCCACAACTGACTGATAAAACATGTGCAGCATTTCACTGCAGACGTCAAAGGACCTGAGCCTCCTGAGGAAAAGAGCCGGCTCCACCCCTTCAGGTAGATGGCCTCCGTGTTCAGGGACCAGTCCAGTTAACTGTCTAGGTGCACACCTAGGTATTTGTGTGTGTGCACATAGTCCACTAAAGGAATAGTCTTAATAATGGTCAAAAATTCATATTAAATAGAACCTCAAACCTTTGTAGCCGAACACTGTGTCTATACAGAATGTGGAGTGGGCAGCACGTTGGCAGCAGCAGCTCTGGTGCTCAGCCTGTGGCTACACAGGATGTGTTTAAGGACAGTATTGACTGGAGTTCATCTGTTTTGGAAGCACCCAGAGCCCCATACAGAGTCACACACACACATAAAACACGGGAAGTGTGAAAATATGGTGTATAGTGAGTAAAACACGGCCTGTGTAGACAGCTGGATTGATTAAAAGAGAGCGTATCTGTTCTAATGACATGCGTCACAGACGAGTGAGAGACAAACGCGGCTCAATCATTCTTAAGTGCTGACTGCAGTATTGCAAAATAAGGGTTACAATAATGTCCACTCACAATGCCCCACCTCAAGAACTGAATCAGCCAATAGCAGACCTGCAGAAATAATATGTCACAGCTGCATCTCATCAGTCAAAATCCACCTGGTGAAATCTACCTGGAGAGGAAATAGCAGGGGTGGGGTTGTAAATAGGGCTGTCATGAAATCAGACTTTCACTACACGGTTATCATGGCCAAAAGAATGTACGATAATATTATCATGATATCTATATATACAACTTTGTTTATTGTTTGTTTTGTCTCTTTTTTTGGCAAATGAACTAGACTCAAATATGAGTGTGGGGAGGTGGAAAGAGAGTCTGTAACCATAATGGCAACCATATGAACTGATAATCAAAAGATCAACACGGTCCAACATCTGCCATCACAACATTATCATATTTGTATATTAACACAATATCAATATTTCCTTTTTTAAATATCATGGTTATCGTCCCGGTATATCGAGACACTCCTGGTCATAAACATAACATAACAAGAGGAGGCAGCATGGCCCACAGGCTAACAACAGCAGTGCACAAAGTTGTTAATTAAACAGCATTTAATCAAACATTTTACTGTCATTACTTACTTACTCTCTGCAGCCAAACAGCTTCTTGTCTGCTGCTAAAATTATTTCACCTACGGTCAGAAAACAAAATAAACAATCAGTATTTGTTTAAGGAGAGGTCAGTTCCACTCCCTCTCTCAAACCAGCTGGACTCGACTTCAGTCAGATTGTCCTGTGTGAAACAAAGGAGGCGTGTCGACCCATCACTGGAAGTGAGGTTGTCTCACCCTACACTCATGCTTCACCACAGGTTCATGATCAGCCCTCTGACAGATAACATATCTTGCACTGTGTCCAATATTATAAATGGTTATATATTTAAGCATGCGAGGCTGAAGATATAGGATATTTCTCTTATCTTTTCATCATCTTTCCAAAGTGTGTTTGAGAGTGTGTGTCCTCTCTCTGTTGTATGACAGCTGTCTGCTGGTGACTCTTCACTGGCTCCTCAGACCTCTGAAGTTCTTTTCTTCTAGGAGCTGAGATCAAATATTAACGGTTAAAATGTTTCATGCAGCAACTCTTACTTCAAGGTCACTTTTAGAAATTGGATGTAATTAGGACCAGCTTGTTTCTCTGTGCAGCTCCATACACTCTCAGAGTCTCTTCATGGTTTTCTCACTGTCCCTCCTCTTGTTTCGGCAGGATGTATAAACGGTGCTGTGCCACGTATGAAAGTGCTTCTCTGCGTATGTTCCAATTGGGCCGGACAGATACGATCCGCTCAGCCTCCAGTGCCTCAGCTGCCTTTGTCAAAGCTTTTGATGACCCCAGCAAACAGGTATGATGAGAGGGAAAAGTCTAATGAGATGTATTCATGACTGAGTGACTGATGAACTCAGGTCACAACCCAGAATCTCAGACAAGAGAAGGTTGGGAGCTTTATCAATCAGTCTAATTCTCAGACTTTGTCCATATGAGAGAAACGTCACTGTACACAAACCAGAGATGGAGCCAGAGACAAAGTGGTGATGTACCATGGGAATCACCTGGTTTTCTGCTTTAATTGGTCATAAAAGCTGATCTGATCTTCATGTCAAGTCACAAATATAGACAAACACAATGTGCTTAAGCTCATATCACATGTTCAATTATAACCTTTCATGTCTTTATTGAACACACATACTGAAACAGTCAGTAAACTTTGGGTATAATAACTGGCTGAAGCTCCTCTGAAACCAGCTCTTCACTAGCTGCTGATCAGAGCTGCTCAATGTAAAAGAGGAAGTTTGAACCATTCTTCCTATAGAGCTGCTTCAGTCAGACAGATTCTCAGGATGTCTGGTGTGAGCGGCTCTCTGAGCTCAGTCCACAGCATCTCTACTGGGTTCAGGTCTGGGCTCTGACTGGACCACTCCAGAAGGTGGATTTCCTTTGATGTTGAGAGTTATTGTCTTGCTGCATCAGCAGCTTCTCCTGAGCTTCAGCAGGTGGACAGACACCCTGACATGATCCTGAAGAGACCTTGATAAACTTGATGATGTGGAGCTGTCCAGGTCCAGAGGCAGCAGAGACCCAGATCTTGATGCTCCCTCCACCCTGCTCCACCTGTGGGAGGATGTTTTCATGATGATGTGCAGAGACTTTTTACACCACACATAGAGCAGCACGTTCCTCCCAAATAATTCAACCTCAGTAGCAGCTTTCTCTGTCGTGTCCATGGCAACAGGACTCTATGCTCCATGATGTGTGTGTGGTGGACTCATGAGCAGAGATGTGAACCAGCTCCAATGATTCCTTTAAACATTCAGCTGTTACTCTGAGTCTCTGTGTCTCTGGCCCAAACTTCAAGTCTGGTTTCATTGACTGGACTCCAAGTTTGATAACTCCTGACTCCAGTTAGAATGATTTATTCAATATGAAAAAGAACAGCACAATGATGTGTTAATAGTTCAAGTAGATTGTGTTTGTTCATAATTTTAACTGAGATGAAGATCTGATCATATTTAAAGACAAATGTTTATAAAATCAGATAACTCCCAGGGGTTCATTCACTATTTCCTGCCACTGTATAATGAGTGTAAAAGAGTAAACTGTACCATTTATTATTTTAATGTTGAGGGATTTCACTGTTACACAGGCAGCTTGAATCATACGTTTGAAATATATTTGAAAGCTGTTAAACCTGCTGTAAGACGTGTCGTTACATTCTTGTCTTCTTCCTGTTTTTCACAGAACGCAGAGAAGCTTGATATGATGGAGAAAGCTGTGAAAGCACACAGGACGTACACTAGCATGGTGAGTGGTGTGTCTGGTGATTCTATATTTTTCTTATTGTCAACAAATCCCATGTGCAGATCCAAACTATGAATAGCTCGAACATGTGTGTATTTAAAGCATTATATATCTTACTCCTGCATATAGCTCCATCATTGTCCAGAAGCTGTTAAAACACATCAATGTTACACTGGGTGACGTGTTTCTTCATAAACATAAACACACACATTGTAGTTTATTTGTGACTCAGTCCCATACACAAGGTGTGCCCCAAACACCCACCAGAGCACCAAATGTAGATTTTCAGTATGACACTGTATGTAGATGACACAGAAAATAGTCCTCAAAAATGCACTGTATCAGCTGTTAAAGGAACTGTACCTAGTGTTTACTGCTTATTGCATACATAGAGAAAAAATATAAAATAATGCTTCCCTTATTTGTCAGTATTATTTGACATCAAATGATTGACATTTCAGACTAATGAGTTCTCCTGTTCACAGGCGATCAGTGGCCAGGCCATAGACAGACACCTCCTGGGCCTTAAAATGCAGGCTGTGGATGAAAAGCTCTCCATTCCTGATATCTTCAAAGATACTGCCTACGCTAAAGCCTTACACTACCAGCTATCTACAAGTCAGGTATGGACCAGGGTTGAAGCTGGGGATAGGTCACGAGAACTGGTTCCAGTTCCAAATTGATAACATACCCACATTTGTGAAGCTCCGCGGCCGACAAATCTTTTTCATTCATGTCCTCTGTTTAGTTTCTTTAGCCTCTTTCTGACTGATGACATAACAAACCTGTGATAACTCAGCAAAACTATTGTTAGGAGACATAAACACATGGCTTCACACTCAGTGATTCACACTTTCCAAATTCAACAAAACAACTTCAAAATGTCATATTTTCAGAAGAAAACTCACCACAAAGAGTAAATGATAAGTTCCTCGTTTAAATATTTATCTACCGTCCAACATGTTAAAGAACTTACCACAATATTCTGCCACCTGCAGCCATGCAACAAGTTCATCTTCAGCTAATGTCAAGTGCAACGTGCAACAAAAATCAGAAATTTACTTAGCTGAATTATAAAGTAGAATTAATCCTTTTTTCATGATATTGTTTTTGAGGATCAAACTGAGTCATAACAGGTTTGATCCAGGAACTGTCACAGAGCACACAACCCTGCAGCACAGCAGACTGTCCATGCTTTAGGACTGATAGTGAATTACTGTAGTATTAGTCTCTTACTTGTCTGGTAATTAATTGTTTTATTAACATGATTAGAAGAGGCAGATTCTTAAATATTAAGATAAATCTGTTGTTTCATCAGACAGTTGATATTTGTTTTGTTGCTGCACTGAGTGGAATATAACCACAACGTTTTAATGCGTCTTCGTTCCCCGTCTGAGAAACTACTGAAAAAGTTTTGATAAGGGGATCCAGAACTGGAAATTGTTTTGAGCCCATTTACTGGTTGAAACAACCCATAAACATTATGACTCCGGCTCCGACTGTCGCCGGCACGGAGGAATAAAAAATACAGTGAGGAAAATTCTTGCATAGTACTAAAACATTTTAATAAATGCATGTGAGTAGTTTAACATAGTAGTAGATGTTATTTTTAATGTTATTTTTAACAGTATGCTAACTAACTAATTACATCCTCACCACCAGGTCCCGTCCAAGACAGACTGCGTCATGTGTTTCGGTCCAGTCGTACCCAACGGATACGGCGTGTGCTACAACCCAATGAACAATCACATCAACTTTGCTGTGTCATCTTTCAACACCTGTGCAGAAACCAATGCAGCACATCTGGCCCAGGCGGTGGAGGACGCACTGTTAGACATGAGGACACTGCTGGAACAAACTCCCAGAGCTAAACTGTAAAACCAGACATTACTGATGTCTTCATAGATGAAGTGGACACTACAGGGCTAGTTTGACATGTGGATGACCATACCCCACACCCGGTGCAAGACTATAGAGCTCCAGTTAATAGTCTGAGCCAGAATTCTGTTATCGCTTATCATCAAGGACTTTAAATGATCCTGTGGTTCCTGCTGTGCAATCACTGGGAGCTGCCGCTCCCTCCTGTTAAAATGCAAACACACATTCAATTCAGTAATTATAAATATCATTACACACTTTTTACAAATACATCTGTTGTGTTACAATGAAACATCATCATCCAGAATCAAGCAGCTGTTTACAACAGAAAGTATCACTTAATGAATGTGGTTGAATATTTCATTATCAACAAATCACCTGCTTGGTTTGAAGCTGTGTGCCTCACACCTCCATGGTCCAAGGTCCAAAACCTTCTTCATGGGGTGACATTGTGTTTTATCACAGTGAAACTGGTCAGTGTGAATTATTCTGACATAAGTTTACAATGGCGTTTTAAATTGTATGGGTCCCATCAGAGGTCACACAGCAGAAAAACACGGATGTAGAACTCCACCTGCAGGGATTAGTAAATCATACGCTCAGTTTAGTAATTCATCAGGTCATGCTCTCAGAAGAATAAACTCTCTGGACCTGTGGATGTAGTTTCTTAATATGTGCAGAGTCTAATTCTTTCTAGAATATGCATGTGGTCCCATCATGTTAGCCATGCTGCTGTACACCAACGTGTTTTTATTGTTACAGCACAAGTTAAATTTAAAAATGCCTCTCCTGGCTCATGTATCAATCATGCATTAGCTGATGATCAATCCATTATGACACAGATCAATAATCAGGGCTTTCATTTAGTGGCTACAAAGATTACATAACAAATTGTATTATGTATCTGTCTAATCCTGCTTTGATTTTATTCGTAAGGTCAGTATCAGAAATGTTCTCTTCCATTACCACGTTAACGAGCAATTAAAACAATTTTTTTTTTTACTTTTCAGTTTATTAATCTTGCTGTGCTCAGTGTGCAGCACAGCAGTCTACTGTTTCGGTTTATTCATCTGTTTGCTTTAAATATTTATTATATACAGAGTCTGTTTTCATATTTCCAGTAGGAGTCGACAAAGTCAGAATAAAACACACACGGTCTTCAAGTTGCCATGTTTGAAAGGATGTAATATTGCTTTCTTCAGTGAAGTGCCATGCTATGTTTTTTTTCCTGAATTTAATATTTGATTGGAAACTTTAGTAAACCTCAGTTAGTGATGTCAGACTTGATTGATTGACTTGTGTTTGAGCATTAAATCCAATCTGTTGCCAGATAGTGAACATACAGCAGGTGTAATGGAAGAGATGTAACTATTATGAATGTAGAAATTAGGTTAATTAAAGGGAGGATTATCTAGAAGGAAAATTGCATAATAAGAGGAAGTGTGTGTGTGTGTGGGGGGATAGGTGTCAAATTGTTCCACACTTCCTCCTAATTTAAATACATTTTTAAAAAACACTTGCTGTGGCTTCTTGCTGGTTTTGTCCTTACAGTAAAATTATTTGCAGAAGTTTTAGAGAAGCACCACTGTCCTTCTCAGAACTGCCACGTGGTTGGTATCAGTAGCACTTGTGCAGGTTATTAGATTTGCACTTCTGTAAAGGTCAAACTCATGAGAAAAAATACATTTTAGAAATTAGATGCTGAAACTTCCTGGTTTTCAGTCCCTTGTATGAGTTATGCTCTAAAAGCACTGTCGTTGATCTTTAATCATTTCCCATGATGCAATTTATGGCATCTTTTCGTTAGACCCTCTATGGCTTGTTAACAGCCATTCAGACTTCACAGCTCCAGGTTGTTTCAAGCCAAACTAAAATAATCCTGATGACATCATCAGGGTTGTTTTCTCAGACGCGATAAAGCGTCTCCAGATACCGAAGACACTAAACATCTGTTTTGATGTTGCTGCTTTTATTAGGATCCCCAGTAGCTTTGTGAAAACAGAGGCTTCAGTCACACCATGTTAACAAATGCCAACACTCCCTAACACCAACAAAAGTTAAATAGATTGAATCAATAAAATAACTGGGGTGCCAGTTGTGAAAAGGAGGCCATTCCTTACAGAGTATTAGATACAGGAAGTAAACGAGTCTGTGGGCTGAAAGGAAAGTTGATGATTGTGAAATCTGTGCAAAAGACTTAGGGTTAAGTAAGCTGGAGGAGTCAGAAGGGCAGAGTAGTAGTAATATTGTCTGGTGTGGCGATTTCTGGACACAACACGGGTGATGGAAGAGTTGTTAGGTGAGAATTTAGAGACACACTGAAACGGCTCCACCAGTCTGCCCAGCCTCCTGCCTTTTTCTGATTCTGATCCTGATCCCTGTGGTATCTCACAACCAGTAAATTTTACACTTAAAAAAATTATCCATTTAAAAAGGCACCCTGTGTCTGGTTATTAATAAGGAACATAATTATCACTTTGAATGACATTCCTCACATGGAAATTTACTCCTCAAATCTTAGAGAGGGAAATTTAACAAAAACATTGGGCTATTTACTGGTCTGGCTGACTACATCAAGCTGTGTGTTATAACAGGACTTGTGGCCATGCCAACCACCAGGCTGCTGAAATGGGAGTCTCAGGACAGGCCTCCCTGCAGGCTATTAAATCCCTGGCACAGGCTGCTGAGCAGAGCAGCAACTGGCTCCGACTCAGACCAAAAGACAGGGACTGGGCAGCAGGATGACGTCAGCCAGCAGAGGGGTAAAAGCATAGGGGGGGTGTACCTGGGATGCCAGGTGTCACTTTTGAGCCTTCTGGAGGTGTCAACAAAACACAGCTTACCCCCCACCCCCAAGTGATCATGGGGGGCGATAAAAACCAATGATCTCAACTATTTTAAAGGCATTCAACGTCCATATTTTCAACATATAAACAAAATTGCAATTCCAATTTTTGCAGCTGAGCCAGGTTCACTTCAGACCAGTGAAATAAATCAAACACCAACACAGAAATGTAGCACTCTCTCATTTATAAACATACACACACTTGGTGATCACATGCCTGTGTGTGTGATGCAGTGGAGAGCATCCTGTACTACATGTGACCACAGGACCCTCTAGTCACCCTCTCTTCCCGCCACCTTCAGTGTTATCTCAGTGAAGTCCCAGCCCATTCCTGAACACTGACTCACTTCACCCGACCCACACCACCCCTGTCTGGTTTTCATGCCAACAGCCCATACCACAACCATTTAGAATTACAACACCTGGCATCTTAAGATGGTGTGAATAACAAAAGCTTCAATGGAATAGAGGATAAACTTCTTTAAAACTAAAACAGCAACTAAGTTGTTCAGGTTCCTGATTTCTTACTTCAGGGCAGTTGGCTCTGTGATGTATGACCATAACAAATAAAGGGCAGTCTTCTTACTGTGTTGATGTGGGCCCACCACACTGAGATACTAAAACTAGTTCTTGTAAAGAGTCAGACATGCCTATCTAGCAACTGTGACTCATGATTACCAGAAAGCACACATACACATACCATTTCCTGCACTGAGGTCCACATGGATTTCACAATTGTTGTGAGCTCAAGAACAGCATTTATCATTGGCTGCTTTGGAAGGGAGTGTTGTTCCAGGGAGTAACTTGACACTATGACTAAGATCCGCAACAACTAGTCAAGATTCCTTATATCGTTTCATTTTAGTGATACTGTACAAACTGATATTTACTTCCACAGCCTGATCAGCTGATATTTTTGAAGTATTTTCTGTGATGAATCCAGGAAGACTTCCTGACATATTTCTCATCAAGGAGCAAATGTTCTACAACAACAACTGACTACAAACAGTCATTTTAAGGAGGATTATAATGATTACATGGTTATTACTGATTTCACTGTTCAGCAAGAGCAAACAAGATGGAAGTGGACAAGAAACTGGTGAGTATGTCCTCCACTAACTTCTCACAGCCTGCATATACAATGAATATCTGGTACTCTGAGTAAAAGAACAGCTGATGCTACACTGTATTAATGACATAAGACTGTTGCCCTATTTCCAATTGAATTCACGACAAATGGTCTCTAAATGTGTTTACATTTACTGCAGATTGTAAGCGTTTAAGTGCGTATTGTAAGCGTTTAAGTGCGTATGCAGCCAATTTCCTGTCGTAATAATAAATACATGCATCAACATGCAACTTAATTTCTGGGGGTCCGACAAAGGAGAACAAAATGCCTTCAAGATTTAAGATCAACTACATTCCAAGTGACAGTAGATACATTCAATATCACTAAACAGTAGATATAAGATTTCTTGAATATAGGGCAGATTATTTATCCTCATCGTGGTCACTGTCAGGAATGCAGATCATTTCAGCTGCGACCCTTTCACATTCTTTAAGCTTTTTCTCCAGTCATAGCCACAGTGGCCCTGAGGGCTTAACACACTGCGACTTAAGAAAACACATGCAAATACACGTGGGGTTGTCACCTGGTAGAGTGCACACCATGAAGGGGTAATCCTTACCGCAGCCCAGGTTCGAGTCCAGCCAGTGTCCCATATCATTCTCTCTCTCTCTCTCTCTCCCAAAAAAATAACTTAAAAAGAAAAAAGAGATGAACCTGCTGGGACGCACTTTTTATTGCTTTTAAATTCAAAAGTCACAGTTGAGCATTGTACAAGTCCCAGCCAGGTTCATCACTTTTTAGTGGCCCCAGAAAACACTTCCATTGTGTTATGATATTTACAGCATGTTGTTTTCTTAAGTTGCAGCATGTTGAGCTCTCAGGGCCACCATACATAGCAGACACAAGTCTCTCCATGCTCACAGCAGTAGTTTGAGCTAAATGCTGACATCTGTATGCTAACATGCTCACAGTGACAATGCTAACATGCTGGTGTTTAGCAGCTTTAATGTTAGTTTAGTCTGTTAGCATGCTAGCTTGCTAATTAACACTAGACATAAAGTGAAGCAAAGCCGAAAAGAAGCTGTTGGAAAAGTCATTTGTTTTAAAGGTGGTCATAAACCAATGTGATGGCCTAATGAAGATTTTGACCTGCTGATGGCACTAGATGCAAAGACAATGGGTCATCAGAGTGATTACAATCAAGCATCAACCTCAGAGGCTGAAAAATGAAGCCAACACTGAAGCGCCAAAACCTGCAGTTCTTCCAATGACCACTACAGTCTGGCTCCAACAGTGAGTCAGTCCCCATAGACTCCCATGTTAAAATGTCCAACTTTACAGCAGAAATAAACATGTTTACAGCCTGATACAAAAACACAACCAATTTCTGGATTAGCTGGGAGTTAGGGGCAGAGTCAGGCACTGCCAAGAAGGGGACAGTGGTGCAGCTCACTCTGAGCTTCAACCTATGGGTGAAGTCACAGAGGCTACATCCATCTTTATATACAGTCTATGATTCCAATTCATTTTGTACACACATGAATGTGTGTACAGATTTCCATGGCATTCCACTCAATAGTTATTGTGTGAAACTTTTCACTCTGACAAACGTGAACCTCAGGAAATGTCAGGTCATCTCTAGAGTCAGTAGGATACATCCTGTGGGAACCATGAAGGCCTGTATGAAACTTGGTGCTAATCAGTCTGGTAAATGTTGAGATGAGAGAAGACTTTGGCCTGTTGGTGGTTGGTGCTAGATGAAATGTTATTAGCATTATATACTCTGAGTACCATGAGTATCTGTACCAAATCTAATGGAATGAAATATTTAAAATGACATTTCACAAAAAACCAATGATGTAAAATTGCTGGTGGGGCGAGAGGTAAAGTTAGGGAAGCACCAAAATCAGCCGACTTCATCTTCAGGGAAGAGAATGACATTGCCACTCATAAAACTTATTGTTTTTGAATCTGCTCGTCAACATAATCAGCTGTGTCCTCTCCTGCTTCAGTGTTTTCAAAAGACAGAAAGTCGTCTGATCACACATTGGCCATTAACTTGCTTTTTATCCACATAAATAATGCAGACAGGCAGCTGCTACTTTCCAAAACAATCTCTAATTTGATAATTTCTTAAGTGCTTCATCAGTACTTTCTTGTAAGCTAGTGCCTCAAAATAGAACATAGCTCTCAAATTTCTATTGTCGTGTGCTGGTTCTACAAGTTCGAGTTCTCAGTTTGTTAGTGGCTTCTGTTACAGATTTTAACACAGAGGGTGGATCCAGAACAGGATCCTACTAAACATCTGTAAACCCTGAGAACATAAAGGGACAATTAACCAAACGGAAGAATTTACTTTGTGCTGTTTTGAGGAGTAAGTCACTTTCTGGATGCACTGACTCAGAATCAGTAATGGACTCTTTGGGCTCATATGGTCTCTATTAGAGACACTGTATGCCAACCAGATGGGTTTTATAATGATGTAGGGAATCTACAGGCCTGGCTGAAGGATCTTAGGGGTCATGGGAAAAATCCCCACCCTCCATGCCCCAACCTCCACACATTTATCTCATAAACTGTGCTCTGTACACTCACACAAAACTTTACCCACAAATGTAAAAACAGAAGAGGGAACAGTTTCTCTACTTTTTGTTTATATGTTTATTTATATAGATATTGTAAATAAATATATTAATATTCAAAACAACAATAAACTACAGCAGAAATGATTGAAAAGAACAAAGTAAATGAAGCTGGTAAAACCATATCAGTCACTGAAAGCTCCAGAGAGCTTGTAATGAATCTTTGCGGAGCTTTCATGTCATGGCTTCTTTCAATGTATTTGTAAATAAATACACACAATAAACAAATATAATTAACATGATAAATATTTTTGACAAATATATTTCATATTGATATGAAATATGAAGACAGCTGACATTATTACACCAGTGTTAAATTCTTTTGTCAATCATTCATCTGTTTCAAAACAGTATATACATGTTCATGTTTTTATTGTTGACAAATACACTAATAAACACTTAAAATGTCTTTTCTGAGGTCACTGTGACCTTGACCTTTGACCTTTGACCAACAATGTCTAATCAGTTTGTCCTTGAGTCCAAGTGGACATTTGTGCCAAATCTGAAGAAGTTCCCTAAAGGCGTTACTGAAACATCGTGTCCATGAGGATGGGACAGACGGACAACCCAAAACAATATAATAAAAGCTTGAACCTTTTTTTAGAAACATATTTATGGCAGTAAATCTGTGTTAACTATGATCTTCTATTAGTGATACATGAAATTAACTGTGTAATACCGTAGTAGAGCAATCAGCAGTGCTGTAACACTGTCTCCAGCTGATGATGTCCTCTCTACTGTCGATGCTCTGTCCTCAGGTGTTCTGCAGTGCGGACCTCAGAATCTGACTCTTACCGGTTCTGACCAGACGATGCTGGTAACATGGGAAGACGACCCTTCATGCTCTGCTGTTAAAGACATGCTGATCTATGAGCTGTTTGTTCTTGTCACAGACAAGCAAGTACATTATGTACGAGTTGATTTTTATTACATCACAGTTGCTGACTTCCATAACATTAACCTCCACTTGTGGAACAGTCAAACAAACATACCTCTAATTTCTTATGATTTGTTCTAGGATAAAGTGTCTGTAACGCCTGACCAGATAGGATCCACTCACTCCTGGAACTGGACGTCCCATTTGGCCTTGGAGTGTGTTTCCCATTCAGTCAGACTCAGCTCACGATACAAAAACCAAACAGGCCCATGGAGACAAGAACAGACTCTTCCAGGTTCATATTGATCTTGAATATTTAAGCTATCCTTCTGACATATTTGGCAGTCATGGTGTTCATTATTATGTCCTGTTATTCTTCTACAGGAAACGAAAAATCCACACAGCTGGAGATTTATCCAAAGGACAGAGTGTTTGAGGTTGGCAGCAGAGTCACCTTCTGCTGTGTCCTGCCAGCAGGTTATATCTTTGACAAGATGTATCTGACTGAGTACAGCAGCGCCAACATGACCATTACCAAGAGCAACAATTGGACATATGCCTTGACTGTCCACCTGAACCAGTCGTCAGAACACAGCTGCACTGATGTCAAATGTATAGCAAACATCAGTACTGGGAAAACAACCGAGAATGGAGCTTGTGCCTTTATTGGCTGTAAGTATGATTCAGCCTTGTGCTGAATTTTGTGATCTTAGAATTTGAAACATGTCTTGGAAATAAATGCTGGCTGTTTTTTGATATTCACCATGGCCTAGACCCACCCGGTGATAAGGATCTTCAGTGTGAAACCCGGGATCTGGAATCAGTCAGATGTCACTGGACAGTAGGAAGACACACACACCTGCCCACAAAACCCACAACTTACCAGCTTCTTGGAAGGTAATAAAACTACAGTTGATGTAGCCACTGATTGGAATATAGAAGCAAAAAACTGTTGTAAGCCGGGGCTAAAGTGGACTGGAATGTGGTCTGGGAATCATCAAGATAGATTAATAAATAAATAAATAGCTGCATAAATAAATAAACAAAATAAGCCTGTATGGTCAAGCGGGGCCTGCCTCTGTGTGCTTTCACTTATGATCACATGATCAAATGTTAGACTGACTTTATGAACAGTTTGATCGTGTTGAGAATCTGACGCAGCGTCAGACAAACATTCAGCTCAGTAAGACCATACCATGGATGCAGGTTGTATTAGCGTAGCATTAAGCAGCAGGTGAATGAACACAAGTAGTTTGTGTTTTCAATGATTTCATTTACTGACTTGTGTCGAGCAAATGCAGCTGCACTGAAAACATCCATTCAGAGGAGAAGCTGCAGTGCAGGCAGAGATCCAGCTAAGCTAACAGGCTAGGCTATGAAAGCGTAGCTAAGCTAGCTTTCATTTCCAGCACAAGCTGTCCCAGTGTAACAGACTGACTGTCATGTTTCTGTGTAAAAGCATCACAGAAAAAGAAACTTGGAAAAGTGAATGATGAATGAAAGGATATTTTCTGTCTTTTCATCTTTACTAATGAACAATTTAATTCACCGAGCAGCTCAGAGGCTACCAGCAACTACCAGACACTTTTAAGGTGGAATATTGTGTTACTCAAAGTATGAGTTGACATTTGGAAATCAATCAATAGGCTACACCTTAAATATCAATATGACAACTTTGACCATTTATTTTGTTTTTATTAGCTCTCTACATGACACACACTTTAGTGATGGTTGGATCTTCAGGCACTTTAAAAAATATATATATATATATTTCAATGGATTACGGAAAGTGTGGATATTTTATTTATCACTTGGAGAAAAAAATGGCGGAGCATCGATCCGATGCACTCCAGCAGTGCTGCACCTATGCCAACACCTGGAAACACAAAAATTTAGTTCTCCTTCAAATTTGACATGTAAATATTACTGGATAATTGCATTGCAATAAATATTTTTGTTGAAAAATCATTTATCTAAATTTCCAGGTTATTCAAAGTAGTGGAATTTGAAAAACTACTGTATTTTTGAAATTGAACTATTTTCAATTTGTGAAGTTACAGATGAGCCAAAGTTAAAAAAGAGAATCTACAGCCATGCCAGCAGCTCTGTGAGGCTGTACTTAGGCATATGGATTGAGCTAAATGCTAACAACAGCATGCTAAGCATGCTGAGATTGACAATGGTAACTTGCTGATGTTTAGCAGGTATAATGTTTACCATGCTTATTATCTTAGTTTAGTGTGTTAGACACTACATTTGCTCAGCTGAGGCTGGTGGGGATGTCATTAGTTTTACAGGTATTTAGTCATAAACCAAAATACCGGATAAATAAAAGTGTTAACCTGAGACATTTCAGTGTGGACCTAACCCATTAACTGACAGATCGACAGTCATCTTTAGCACCACGCCTTTAGCATAAGTAACAACTGTATTCAGGCTCCCTTAGATTCTTTTTACTGATTTAAAAATTACAGTTAATTCAAAAAATCAAGTTGTGATCAAAGAATTTTCTATCTAAATTTGTAAACCAGAAAAAAAGTATTGTACTGAATAACTTAAATTTTTAAATGTTAAATACCTTGTGGAAATGTTAGAAGATATTTTCAAAATAAAATATTTCAATTGCATTTAAATTTTAAATAAATAATAAATGATAAAGTATCAGTGGTAATTCAGTTTAATAATTCCCAATAACTAACTGTTAAGTTCTGTACAAATTACTTTTTTCTTTTTCTTTTTTACCTTTCTTTGCTTCCACACTGGAGATGTAGTCCTTGTAGTTTATGTTGTGGGAAAGAATGAAGTAATTCATATGCATTGAACTATTACATTCTCTTGGCATTTGTATTCCAGACCATGTGCAAATGAGTCTCCAGGGAGTTGCTCACAAAAAGTGCAAGTCAATGTTGGTGAGAGAAACTGGACCTTAATGGCACACAATGAACTTGGGACGGTGGAGCTCTCAGACAGGGCTGACCTGACTAAAAGAGGTACAGCTTTATTAAAATGCTTATATACAGGTCTCTATGCTTACATTTATTTTTAGGGGCACTGGATGAAATTAAGAGACATAATTATTAATTTTTTTTAAAAAGAACATTATTATGCATTTGTTTTTAAAACATTAAATTTACAGTATGCATACGATGCAGAAGCAAATTGACTTAAGATAATTAAATAATTTAGAAACACAAGCTGTAGTCTACTTGGGACCTAGCAAAGGACCAGGATGCATAGTGCTTAATGACTGCATCTAATTTCAAACAGCATAGATTTTATATTTTAGCCTTTGGTAAACAGGGTTGGGGTTTGATGTTTTTTTTTATCCCATTTGAATTCAGCAGCATGTTTGTCATGGAATTAACATTACTTGAAATCAGCAAAAGTTTATATAACCGACCATTTTTTTGTTAATCGGTGAAAACAATGATTCGCACTGGCTAAAAATGTGAAGCTGCTTCATAAACGCTGTACACTGGGCTTTGCTAATAAGAGTTAAGAACTACAAACATATTTTTTCACATTCCAACACTCTAATTTTCACTGGCATATGTGAGTGAAATGCTGCACTGGAAAGCCCTGTTCTATATTATATATTCTACTATATCATAATTCAGCTGATCATCCTGTGTCTTCTGTTTCAGTGCACATGTTTGCTCCAGAGGGAGTGACAGCTTCTACTGTGAATGCCAGAACTGTCAGCTTGGAGTGGGGGTGGAAGCTGCCCCAGTACAATAATCTCAATATAACATGCCAAGTAAACGTTAGCCATGGTAGCACAAATACCATGGTAAGTAGACAGAGAACGAAGGGTGACAAATTAGCAAGGAGTTTAAAGTAAAATCCGTCACTGATACCATCTTGTCCATATTATGTTCCCAGAGTGAGAGCTGTGGAGTTGGCCTTAATTCTGCAGTTTTGACTGACTTGATACCACACTGGCAGTATAACGTGAAAGTACGATGTGGAACAACACAACATTTCTGGAAATGGAGTAACTGGAGCACAAGATTCAACTTCCACACAAAGGGTGATGGTAAGTATTAAGCTAGACTAGGTCAAAACCTAGTATATGTCTTTTTCAGGCTTTTGGCATTATAACAGTCATAATGAGCGAGAGAGAGAGAGAGAGAGAGAGAGAGAGGATGACACACAGCAAAGGGCCACAGGTCAGACTCAAACCCGGGCCGCTGGGGAAAAGGACTACACCCAAATGACACACGCTCAGGTGGAGCACCAGGTGGAGCAACTTATTGACTCTCTCACACAGAGCACAGCCTTTGTCTTAATCCACAATAGTTTAGTCTTTATTTACTTCAACTCCAGAACGTAACAGACTTTTATTAGAGGCAGGTCTTTATGTCTAACTCCCTCTGATATGTAGAGTTGGTCATAGTCGTTAGTACAAAGCCTCGTTACCGATGACTTCTCTCTCTCCCTCCCTCTCTCCTGCTCTCTCTGCTCAGTGTGTCTTAAGTTTAGTTATTCCTCTGCCTCCTTTAGTAATAATGTTACATGGAATGAAAGGAGTTGGAAGCATTCCTCCTCTTCCTTGCAGTTCCCGAATAGCTGGGAAACCAGAGCGGCTCGGTAGACTGCAGCTCAGCACTCCACTGACCAGTGGTGGAAATATCATCAGTCAGTCAATCAGTCCATCAGTCAGTCAGTTAGTGACATTGGAGATTATAGGGCTTTGTTGTGACATCACAAATTTCCAGAAGTCCTGAAGTTTTAAGGCTCAGTTTGTGAATACAGGCTGTGTGCATTTCTCTGTGGACTGAGGCTTTGATACTTTCACAGTATTAATATAGAACCTAGACCTGATCTATAATCACACTACACATGGACATCTACGTTTATACTATATGGGACCTCGTCACCATGTAAAATTAGAGGACTACTTGTTATCAGCTTTTCTAAAGCCTCAAGCCTTAGCTATGCTTGATCCACCTACATGTTGACTTTTGTTATAGTTTTTCCTCATCAGATGACAATAGAAGCCTTTCATAGCTGCGTACCTGTTATAAACTGTTGCAGTGGTGGATGAACATGCATGCTAGGAGGTCATTTTCAAACATATGGCCCCATTTCTCAGAAGATGTGATGTATTGTGCTCTCCTCTTTTTTATATTGTAATTTCTCTTATATACCAATTTGCTTGTTAATAAATGAATCTACAACATGCATTTGACATTTCACAGTGAGGCTACATCCACACCAATAGATTTTAATTGTAAAACATAATTTTGCTACGTTAAAACTTCTCTCGTTCACACTAATCCAGAGTTTTCGAGCACCTAAAACCGAGACTTTTAGAAACTCTGCTGGACCTGTTTTAGTTTCAAAACTCCAGGTTTCAATGTAATGTGGATGGGCAAAAACGACAATGACATACACACCCATGTTCACCCCGAGGCTCTCATCAGCCTCAACTACTAGTGGTGAATACAACATTATCATGAATTACAGTGTTACTGACCTTGTTGTCTTTACTAGCAGCTGTTGTTCACTTAAAATCTGTGTTTTAATGCCACATCTGTCTTTGCTGTTCCTTGTTAGTGGTACTCGCACATGCTCAGTGTTTGTGAATGGTCATGTGATATGTGTTTTCAGGTGTGACTGTATGGACACAGATTATTTCTGATACGTTTTCGTTTTAAAATGCCATTTTAAACAGAGAACGTATTAGTGTGGAGGGGGTGTTTTCTGCCTTTTACTTTTTGACTACACAATAACAACCAGGTTCCCCAGAGTGAAAAGTCCAGTTGCTTCTTTCTTGTTCCCCACAGTCTTCTTTTCTTTCACTGTACCTTCAGCATGACTCACAAGTATTTTATTGGTACCTGAGTCATATGACATAGTTACATTGTAAATTTCAGGCTGTTTTATGTGTCGTTCAACATTTTTGCTGATATTGGTTTTCTGGTCACTGATGTACACTATACACTGTCACTGTGTTTTTGCCCCACAGTTCCAGATGCTCTTGATGTGTGGATGCAGATGAAGGATAATGACATTACAGTCATTTGGAAAGTAAGTCAGTATCAGCTCTTTTGGTGCCATAATGAACGTCCTAACTGAAGACCTGTCTTCTTCATGAGAGGACTGATAGATTGCACTTTCATTTTCATCAAAAGAACATGGTGTCATGTAAATGTAAATGCAATAGACTGGGGGCGCTGTTTCACTTCGTCCACTGTGGAGCAGGTGAAGTTTTTGAAAATGAAATGTCAAATGCTTTTTTTTCATTTTCAATTCTTTTGTAAATTGCATTTCCATTTGAATTGTGATTTGAATATTCTTTGCAAAAATAGAAAATTATGTTACATTGTTGTTCTTGCATTTTCATTTTCAAATTTGAACTAACAATTTAATACTGTGCAATGTACAGTGGCAGTGACAGACTTGATGGAGAGCAGTAAGACTTTCTCTACCCTTCGTTAATGACTTAGGAGCCTGATGGATTTTCACAACACAGCAAACTACCAGTTGCTCTAATTAATGACTTGCACCTAATCTATAAAGCATTAATAAATTATTTATTAACCATGAACAAAGTCATTGTCTAAAACTTATAAACTGCCATGGTCTCCTTAGGTGCACTGTGCCAGGTTAACTAAAGTCCTGGTGTTATCTCTGCAGGTGCCACTGGCCAACCAGAGTCATGGACACATCACAGATTATGAAGTGACCTGGGCAAAGACCACAGAGACAGAACGACAAAACAGAACCACAGTGGCTCACACCAAGCACAATCTTTCAATTAGTCTAGACACCACTGAAGAGTATCTCGTCACAGTTACAGCAAGGAACATGAACGGCAGCTCATCCCCATCCACCATCACCACCCCCCACTTCAATCCAGGTATGAAGCTAATAGAGCTGTACACTTCACCCTGAGGGAAGGATTCAGGCCTTAAAGGATAGGTTCACATTTTTCTTTAAATCCCTCCTAATGTAATTCCAGTGTAAATAGTGGGGGACAAAACATCACTGACATTGAAAGCACATTTTCATGGCTAATATGAACAGGAAGAATGATATACAGCAAGAAAAGCCTGTTTCATTGTACACAGGGATACCTGACTATTGCTATAACACAGACTTATACTATATTACTTATAATTTAACATATTATCACCTTATGAAGTGTGAGATGGTGAACCTGTAAGAAACAGTTGCCTCTTTACAAATTCCATAACATTATCATTCCTTTGAAGTCATGAAGTCCACTGTTTCCAGTTTGCAGGGGTTCTGTGCTCTCTGAATATTTCTTGGCTGGGACCAGGCCAAGAAATAGGGGGTTATAATTTTATTCTTTGGTTTTTGTAAACACCCTGCTGTTGTAATTTGTGGGCTGGGTGTAGAGTTAACAAATATAATAAGACCACTGAGATCTGGTGACTGCGAATATCACAGCATGTTATTCACATCATTTTCACACTCATCAAACCATCAGTGACCCCTGCGTCCTGTGGATGGAGGCACTGTCATCCATTGTCTCCACTCATTTCTGAGGTTTTCCCTCTAATTTCTCACCTGTCTGTACATGTTTATGTGACTTCTAACTAAGTCTTCATTTTCAGACACAAACACAGTGAGCACTTCTCGGATCGCTGGCGTCAACGGCAGCTTCAACCTGTCCTGGTTTGCCAGTCCTACAGCAAGTTGTGGATACATAGTGGACTGGTGTCCTACCTCAGGTCATGGCAGCGTGGAGTGGCTCCACGTGCCTCCCCATGAAACTAACGCCATTATATTTTCAGGTATGTCTTATTCTTTGCCCACAAAACAGTTGCACCTATGTAATGTTACATTTCCTTGAGTTACAATACATCTCTGTTGTTGTTTTCCAAATTCAGAAAACTTCAAAGATGGACTGAGATACTCATTGTCCATATATGCCTGCACCCAGGGAGCTCCAGTGCTGCTAGAAAGAAGAGAGGGCTACATCAGAGAGAAAAGTAAGACAGTTGTTTGACTTTCCTGTGGCATGGTTTGATTAAAGGTTGTGTAAATGATCATCACTGTTACTAGATGTTGCTGTAGACCACCAGCATCTCACCAAAACAGTCAGTCAGTAAAGAGTTATGAAGCTCAGTGAAAGTGTCCACTAAACGCATAACAAGAAGCTCAACTGAATAAAGTTACCCTGTGAACACGAGAGCCAACAAAAAACAATCCAGCCACAACCATCAGCCCATGCTAGCATTGCTGTGATATGCTCCACAGCAATGCTGACAGTTAGCTAATAGCAAAATTTGTTGAACACATTTATAATATTTGTAACAGTCAGCTAACGTTATCATGTCTACTGTAGCCATCACTATTGAAAACAGATATGTAACATTATGAACCATCAAGTTACTGACACATGGAGGAGAGGAAAAACCATAAGGTTCTCCTCTCTGTAAAACCAGACCAGTACTGGCTCCATGGTCGGGACAGGCCGCATGAATGACACTCATGGTAAAAACTTTAAAAACTTTATAGATATTTTTACAGTCCACCGGCCGACCAGGATTTGAGCCGGCAGTCCCCATGGCCAGTCCACCTGTGCTCTGGTCTCATCTCTTTCTTTGTCCGAGGCCTTTTTAGACTAAAACTTGATTTCTTCTTCAGTGGAGGAAATTCTGGAAGGTCACTGTCACCTGAACGCTGTATGGCCTACTGCACTGTCATCTCACCTGTGGGTAGAGCCTAGAGTTGCCATCCGTTCTGTATTTGAAAATAAAATGCTGCGTCCTGTAGTGAATCAAAACGGGACGCAATTTGTCCTGTATTTTCGTTCATGTTATGTCCCCAAAGTGCTGTGAATAATGTAATGTCAAGTAAAACCGAACCAGCTGTAGCCTACAAGTGGTTGGAGAAGTTTATCAATTAGCAATAGACTGACGAGCTCTGTGTGCTGTGAAAAAAGTAGAAGACAGCAGTATGACACACTGGCGTTTTACCTGGTAGAGCGCATGTCATCAAGGCTTAATCCAAACCGTAGTGGTGTAAGTCCGACCCGTGGCCCTTTGCTGCATGTCATCCTTTCTCCCTGCCTTTCTTCTCTAATACTAATTGTAAATTAGCATTATTAATCAGCATTAGGCTACATTTTTTGTTACCCTTGATATTTCTGTAATTTTGGTTTATAAGCACATAAAACAATGTGTATTGGCTTTAAATTCCCTTATACTTTCACATAAAAGGTGGCAACTGTAGCGGAGCCTGTGTGTCTAAAAAAAATTGGAGAGGACCAATGGTACTCCACTATATCTTTACATAGAAAATAGTTATTGTATAGCTGCCATATTAATGTTTAAAATCTCGTTTACACAACCATTGATAAATAGCACTTTTTCAGCGTTTTACCTGTTATGCTTTTCCAGAAATACAAGAGGACCTCTTTAAAAGACTGAAATGGAAACAGCAGGATTCAAATGTTGAGGTATCCTGGGATCCAGTGCCTCTGACAGAACAGACTGCTTTCATAGAAGGCTATATTCTGTATTGGAGAGAGGACAACAACAACAACAACAACAAAATATTCTTCAATGTGAGCACAGGTATTGTGATGTCCACTTATTTTTATGATAATAGGCTACAAATGATTCTATGAAGGATTGGAGCTGATAAAAAAATCTAAATCTGATAACAAGCACTCTCTACTAACTCTCTAATGACAGTCTCTTTCTCTTGGTTTAGACAGTCCTGAAGCCATCAGCCTCACAGCAAGAAACCTGAAAATCAGTTCATATAGATTTACAGTGAAGGCACTGACTGCTTTGGGAGAGTGTGGCACTAAGGAATTCCCTGCCAACTTGAATTCGCAGAGTATGTTGTTTCCTTTTACTTCCAGACCTTGTGTAGAAATTCATTATCTATGGTAAAACAAATGTAGTTTATTTGATTAATCCATTCCTCATCTGAGCTGTTTGTCTTCACTCACCAGCTGATAACTTGATCAAGGCAGTCATCATCTCCCTAGTCACTGTTTTTAGTCTCCTTTGCCTCATCACTGTCGTTTGCTACAGACACTGGGTGTGGTAAGAAAATCAGCACATTGATTTTCTATGTAATTTGCTTCTGATGCTACTGTGAATGAGAGCATGTTGTTACTGTATCTTTGTCTGTGATTTATTTTCATGCATTCTTACCTCCAACAGCATCAAACAGAGGGTGTATCCTCCAATCCCAAGGCCACTGTTCACGGACAAGTGGTTAACATCACCGGTAGGTTCTTAAAACTGTCTTAAAGAGCCACGCTGCTAATTTTACACATGAAAAGTATCAGCAGTTGTATAATGCCAGCTGTGGCTCTAGAGCGAGCTTTCTAAAGTCTGTAGCACTAGTAAATAAACTAGTAAATTAAATTCAAGGCCTTTTTCAAGAAATTCAAGAAGTTTTAGGATGATTCCTTTGAACTGACACTAAACATATCAAATGTGCACTATAGAGGAAAAATATTTTACAAAATCACTTCTAAAGGTAATTTTCAAAACATTTACCATTAACTGACAATGACACACTCCAGTGACATGTAGAATCCTGTATTTTCCTGCCTCAGTATTGTAAACCTTTGTTGGCTCATAGTCTTGACTGTAGTTGAAGCTCAGGGGAGGCGAGGGAACAGCCTGAAGTTCTCATACACTGCACTGCACGTTCACAGCTACACTGCTAACTGCTAACTAACTAGCTCTAACTCTCTACTTCAGTCCAGTTTCCAGTTTCCTGTCTCCAGTTTCAAACTTACTGCAGATCTCACAGAGAGATGATAAAACAGTGTCATTTGCTTGTTCACTTGCTATTGCTGCCTTAATGCTTAATGTACAAGTTTAGTGTCCACACACGTCTATGCATGTGTACAACGCTGCAGTATCGTAACTGATGTCAGAACAGTGGAAGGTGAGTCAAGGACAGCTTGACAAGAACACTATGGCTGTAGCTAATCACCTGTCAAAGATCCCAGCATTATCCTCAATGCGCCAAGGTCCAAGAAATCAACAGTTAACAGTAGCATTAGTACAGCTTCACAGTGGCACTAGCATAGCTGTAAACTTATTTTACATTATCTTTTGTGAGTCCTCCTGTTTTTATGGAAGTGAAATGCATTAAAATGTGTGGTCAATGACTGGTTCCTACTATGGTACATTATTGGTGGCTTTTTGTACTCTTGAAGCTTTCATGTCTGTTAAAAAAGGCAGCTAACAAGTGTCTAAATGAGGTTGTGAAAACTGATCGACTCACCAGTCCACCTTTACACACTAGTTGTGCTTATACAAACTGCTACTAACTGTGTAAGAGTAAAGGCTTTTGTAGGAGAGGTCAGAGATAAATCAAACTACGAGCTGAAGTTTAGTGATGATGTTGAAGTCATGTGACCGTGGTGTAGTTGGTTTATAGTCTAACATTAGCTCTTTACTTCTGCTGGTTGTATTGAGGCTTCAAACATCATGAAGAGGAGGTCATTAGAGAAGATGATCCTTCGTACCTAATCCTGTCATGATCATTAACTCTTGTTTATTTTCTCTAATAATCCAAGAGACAATGTTAAAATCCCATTGGCTTTTATTGGAGGGAACCAGGGTGATGGTAACATACTGGTTGGCCAACAAAAATACATCATCCCTGCAGCGCTCTATGCCTGAAACAACTAATAACATTCCCATCAGCTTCAGTTGTACTTTGTTTTTAGCACTTATTAGCAAATATTAGCACACTAACATGCTATACTAATGTGGTAAACATGGTTCACATTATAGATGCTTAACATCAACATGTTTGCACAGTCATTCTCAGGATGTTACCATGCTGACGTTAGCATTAGTACAGCTTCACAGGCCACTAGCATGGTTTCAGACTTTTGTGAGTCCTCCAGTTTCTATGGGCGTGCAATAAGGAAATGGAAATAAATTTTATTGATGCATTATTGGTTTACCCATTATCGCCATCTTTGTACATGCAGCTACGACCCATCTTTTCTATACATGTGAGGTAATTTTGTCTGTTTTCCAGGGTGAGCACATTTGCCGTCCTCTTCATGTGGAGGAGTGTTACCACAGTGAAGCAGATATCATGGATATTCCAGAGCTGCAGTATAAACCAGGAGCACTGGTGAATGGTTATGTCAGCAATGAGAACACACTTTTCATTTTTTCTCCAACTCCAAAGGGTTACTACAACCAGCCCCTGAAAAACTGCACCCCACCACTGCTCTGTTTACCCACTACAACAGTCCCATCTCAGTCTGCTTTACCGTCTTCTCCATTCAGAAGTGTATTTCCTAACCCGTCATATAACCTGATAATGCAGACTGGTGATCAACAGTGCGACTCAGAGCCTGGGGTTCAGGAGGAGACTCATTTAGAGAGAAACTCTGGTGGATACCAGCCTCAGGGCCACACAGAAACCATCACCCCAAACCAGACAGAAGAGGATCCAGTGAGTCTCATGCCCTGTGTCTCCACTTACATTTTGTTACCACAGTCACCTTTCAAATAGTTGTGGTATGCATATGTAGTACGATATCAAATATGATAAGGCTGCCAGAAAATGGAAATTAACATGAAGCTGCTATATGTGTACTCACTGGTTAATTTAAGCTTAGTTTTGTTGATAAATGTTTGCTAATAAAGTAACAATGCACTGTGACTTAGCTTGACTGCTGTGGTTTTGCCCTTACAGTTGGCATATGGAACATGATTCCTCTATAAAGCTAAATCATCATCATCCCTGCCACTCTCTAATAGCATACTCTGAAAATCCATTTTCTGCTTGAGCTCAGTAATTGTGAAATCCATGTAAGGTTACATGCAGGAAATCCAGCTGTTGCTTTCTGGTAAATCTTGAGTCACAGTGGCCAGATCAGACATGTTGTACTTAAAACCAGAATATTTCAGTTCTTGGAAAATGAGCAAGAGTGAAACAGATAGTGAAGACAAACATTGTCCAAACTCTCAGAAGTTTGTTTTAATTTCAAGTAGAGGTCTCAAAGTTTCCATATTTGAGAGAAAATGTGAATGAAAAGATGTAGAAACCATGTATAATAACATGTATAATAATTTTATTTATCTAGCACTTTTCAATCCTGGTTTTCAACAGGATTACAACATTAAGAACTAGAGATTAGATAAATATTCGTAGTATTTGCAGTCCTGGCAGAGCCACAGTGACCACTGAGCTGAGTTCATGTCTTTGGTATTTGGTCTGGAAATGTTTAAGTTTTAGCAACCAACAAAACAAATAAACACTGTAGATAAATGACTCAGAATTTTGTCATGGCAGTGTAGAGAAGGTTCATGAAACAGTGTCTAGACATTTGTGATGGTAAAATCTATTCATATAAAATATAATTGATCAGCTGAAAACATAAAATGTAAGGTACAGGCTCTATACCTGTTGATCAGGGTCAAATAGGCCTCATTAAATCGTTTATTCAGTTTGTAAAACAATAAAACTTTATAGGTAGAGGTGGTGTGCATTTAAAAATGTGAATGTAATATATATTGTTGTTCCACATTAAATCACATCCTGACTGATGCAGTTTTCTTTGAATCGTTAATTCTATTCAGTAAAGTGTCTGCTTCATTAAATCCTCTCAGAGTGCCTTCACAGGATCAGCATCTAGTGTTTGAGTCTGTCTCTTGAACATGAACATGTGTTTATATTTCTTACTGAAACTATTTCAATTTATTCTCAGAGAAACACAAATTTCAGTTAAAATCTGACATAAAGAATAAGTGACCAACATGATTGTTGTTGACAGTTCCTGTATTGATCACTAGAGGGAGCCAGCACTGTATTACTGATGAGAGGATTCTATGTGGAGTGAACCTTTAACAGTCCTGCACTTGTGTGTGGTTTTGAAGGCTTGTACTTTACTTTCTTATTTGCATTCTAAACAACTTTATTATTGTACACCAGTATATTTGAAGGCACATGAATAAAAAGTAAAACAAAACAAAACAAACAAACAAAAAAGACACATGAAAAGATTATAAAATACAATATTTATTACAGGTTAAACCTGTGGTCTCCAACATTTTTGACTTGTGCCTTCATACAAGAACATCACTCTGAAAACAGTTTCACATAAAAAATTTGTGTTTCTCCAATAATACAAGACTTGTCGGATGAGCTGTGAGCCCAGCTGCTGCTAATATTTGCTCAGCTTGTCTCTGATAAGAGATAACTGATAATTCTGATTCAGACTTCCAGGGGTTTTTTAACAGGAGCCAAATTACTTGAAGAGGTCTCCTCCTCTCCAAAACAAATGGACCCGGTGACTAAATATGATAAAAACACCAAATAAAGCAGTTTCAAATCAGTGTTTCTAACATTTGCTCAGCTTGTTTCTCTAATAACTTAAGATTCAGATCTGGACAAAATTCTTCATTGGGTAAAAATATAGGTCTTTGGTTAAAAACATAATAAAAATAATAAAAAAGTGCATCATAAAAATGCTCCTAATGCTCCTGGCGGACAACCACAATGCTGTTACATGCACAAAGCGTTATTGACAAGCAACCTTGATTAAAATTACAGATTTGTATTTTGATGGAAACATTTGGGATAATGTAAGAACAAACCTTAACTAGTCATTTTTAAACATTTGAGAAAGAAAAGTCCAAAACTGAACATACATTTGTGAATCAGAACTTAGTTTTTTCTTCTTTCCTCTCTTCATTAATCATCTCACAACCCCTCAGATTTATTTTGTGTCCCTGTTGAGGGGCTATTACCCCAATGTTCAGAACCACTTCACTTGTTAACTGTAATATTAACTTGCTCAACCTCAGCTACAACAGTAACATGGTGCTTACACACTGATCCATCAGTATTAATAGTCTAATAACGCCTTATAGTAATATATCATTCCCAGAGGATATTTTACTCCAGAACCACTACTTTTGAATCTTAATATGGCAAATCGTCCACAGTTCAAGTTAAAATATTAAGAATTATTATTGTATTGCTAGTTAGAATTAAGCAAAGGCCAACACTACCCTGTTGGAATTCAGTGCGTAAATTGTATACACGGTGTACTACATGTTAGTGTGCTAACTGAGGTATCCCATTTGAGACATGGCCTCTCTCTCTGTCTCCTGTACAGTATGATGTCATCAGGCCTGTTTGTTCAGATGATGTCAGGGCAGCTGATAACTCTCAGATGTGTGAGAGAGATTTTTTCCATTACATCTGGTGAACCCTCTCCCCGAGCAGCCAGGACTCAGAGGGAAGTTTCAACCTGGATACAAACAGTTTCAGCTGTGATCAAGTAGAAGTCCGACACAGTGTGTGCCACACTCTGATACTGTCCTGGTCAGACTTCTTTCTCTCTGCCTGGACTAGTTCCTGGCCAGGCACAGTCACTAGCTGTGTCCCTTTTCAGTGGCCGCATCCTTCAGAGGCTGCACTTGAAGACCGACTGTGTCACATTTGGAAGGCTCCTTCGAATGCTCCTTCAAATTTCCTGGGCAACGAAAGCTTCAACAGGTGGTTCCTTTGGGGCCCAACCTATCCCAAGATTCATTGCACATCAGTAATGAAAATAATATGGCAGCAAACAATGTCAACACTGAGCCTGATCACTTTTAGGATAGTTGAAGAACTAACAGTACAGCTGTTTAAAAAAAACAGGTGGCCTTAAAACCTCAAGTTAGAGTAAAACTAGAATCACCTCCTCCTGTGTCTGCCTCCTCCACTCAGACTAGTTTCAGGTTACACTCCTGTTTATTCACAGTTATAGAAAATATGAACCACTGGTGTAAATTTTGTCATAATTGCTGTCTTGAGTAATGGCCAAAAAGTGTTTTGGGAGGTCACAGTGACCTTGACCTTCGACCACCAAAATTTAATGAGTTCATCCTTGAGTCCAAGTGAATGTTTTTGCCTAATTTTAAGAAGTTCCTTCAAGGCGTTACTGAGGTATCGTGTCTATGAGAATGGAACATATGTATGTATGGACAGATGGACAAGTTACGTGTTGTCAAGGTTGCTAGGTGACACGAGTTTTGTTGAGTTTTGACACGATAGTAAGGGCTGGCACAGCTGGTCACACAGAGAGGAAATCCTCCGTTGACCAGACCGTCTCATTTTGGTTTAGCTTTCAGCTACGAAGGCCACATCTACATATATACATACATACATTACAGACATAAGAGCTCCATAATGAATGTTTAATCATGTATGACACTGGTTTTATTATTATTTATTAGATTTTTATGAGTCTGATTTGATTCCCTGATTGCAACCACGTTACTGTTGGTGATACTGGTTTGTAGCCATGGATGGATTAGTTGGATGAAATAATGATGGATAAAAATTCTGTGCAAACATTCAACTTTGGAGACTGTGCACCATCAAACTGGTCAAATCTTTGTGGTTTCTGACTAAATACCATCAAAACATTGACATTACCTGCAACTGTACTTTGTGTTAAGTGCTAAACAGTAAATTTTAACATACCAAGTTAAGATCGCAAACTAGACCAGCATGTTAACAGTTTTGCCTTGAGCGTTTAGCACAAATCTATCACATTTTATGTTATCTGGACCCAAATGCAGACAAAACACAAATGCTGGAAGGTGGAGTGAAAATACTTTACTCAACCAAAAACAGGAGGAGCACAGGAGTAAGGGATGCAAGGAAACATCAAAAATCCAAACAGAAGTTCCACAGGGTAAAGCAGGACAAACCGACTCAGACAAAGGGGAGCACAGACACTAAATAGACACAAGGGAGTCGAAGGCGACTGAACACAAGTGAAACACATTAGGGCGGGGAAGACAATCAAATTGGAGGGAAAGAGGACAAAGACAGGAAGCAAAAACATCATGACACACAAGGAAAGTAACTACAAAATAAAACAGGAAATGATCATGACCAAATTAATAAACTCCAAACATAAAACAAAAGCTCAAACCATGTCAAAACAACATGGTCTAGGCCTACACCTCAGCTACTAGGATAAGGCTGTAGACTCTTAAGGGCTTGGTGGGTCCTGCACCAATGTGTGCTTCACGTCCTATGAGACTGTGTCCACCAGTGGTCGGCAACTGGCGGCTCCATGGGCCAAAAAAAAACTAGCTCACTAACTGCAGCTGACAGCAGTCCTTGTTCTGCTCTGCAACCTCAGTGAGATTGTCGTAGAAGCACATGAACCAGTTCTCCACCTGACTAGAACAAGAACCAACGTCACAAGCTGCAGGAGTTAAGAGTCTGGCTGTGGAACCAGAGACCTGCCTGCAGGAAGAACAACCTGAGGCGGGATGAGTCGGGGCTAGCTGGTTAGCAGCAAATTAACTTTTTAATTAAAACACTTACATATAACAGCTCATAAATAAATAACAGTGCTGTCCAAATGAATACGCCATATGAACTAAGCTAAAAGTGTGATTGGTTTGGTTATAGAAGTCAGTACTTTCAGAATAAAATCAGAGCAGAAACAGAATGCAGATCATGATTAAGTTTGTAGATTGCGATTCTACTCAATGATCATATAATCTTTTTACCAGATTGCCTACCCCTATCTGTGACTGTAGGCCACAGCGCCACATGTGAACACCAACAAAGTAAAGCTCGATTGCATTTTTATCAATCATTTTCTTAAATTAGCCTTTTATAATGATCTGGTGATTAGGTTCTGGCCCACCATCTAATGGATTAGAAAAAAGTTGGTCCAAGGCCAAACTTACTTGCTGACTGCTTGTGTACACGCTGTCTCCAACATTTAATTTGTATATACTTTCACAAGTCATGCTCTCGCTGCAGCAGATGGGAAGGCTGCTGTTAAAGTTGATAACAGCTGGAAAAGCTGCAAGTACCTTTGGTAAGACTCTCACAGTGGCCCCATATCGCCACTGTCTGTTGTTTTCTAGAATCCTCATTTTACTAACCTTTAAAAATACTTTGGCTATCTGACTGATGGTGTGTTTAGCAAGAGGTAGAAAAAGAAGTGATTGGGTTAGGAGTACTTGAGACCAACGTGTAAGTCATCGACAAAGAGCTGTGTGCAGCTCTTTTAAAGGAATACTTTAAAAGTCTAGCCTACCCAGCCAAGCCTTGACCTCCAACTAAGTGTGCTATGATGGTCTATGTCAGCTGTGTAGACAAGCTGTCTCTGCCAGAGAGACAGCTAGAACCACTCATCTCTCCTAAGGTTATCTTAGATGTAAACACAGTGATAAGTAGACAGCACTTATTTTTCTAGTCTTATTGAGCACTCAAAGTAGTTAACAATGGAAGCCACAACACATTCCCAACACATTGGGCTTTTCTACCATACACGCACACTCACACACGGATGATACATTGAGGAAAACTTGGGGTTCTGTATCTTGCCCAAGGACACAAACTGGAGGAGCCTGGAATTGAAACCCTGACCTTCCGATTAGTGGGCGACCTGCTATACCTATCTGGAGATGGGCAGTCCAGATAGCCTTAGCCCATATTTAATACATCACCAAGACTGCCCTTTTTATTCCCCTGCGCCGGCAACTGCCAGAGCATTTTGTTGCCTTCATGGAGGGTTAGTCAC